TCCTGTGTTTTTTTTTGTTCGGCTTCGCGCGTGGCTTTCTCGCCAAATGATCAAGGATGCTCCTCGCTGGTCCTCGCCGAAGGAAAAATGCACACGTCCGAGCGATGCCAAGCTTACAAAATGTGGGCGCCCCCAGGGGACACCGCCGGGCGGCAGTGCCCGTGGCCCTGCCCACACATCCCGCACGCCATCGCACAAAGCCCTCTGGGCGCGAGTGGATCGGGCACTCGCCTCTTCCAAGCCCCCCCTGCTTCGCCTTGTGGGGAGGGGCTCGTCCACTCACGATACACTCCCCCTTCCCTGAAGGGGCCCAGGGGCACACAAACAAATACACACAAATCCCAGGATCCCCATACTTTCACATACTGGGTTTTCGTCTTCCCCGCACTTCCCGCATTTTCCATATTTCCCTCGGGATCGACGATTAATTGCGCCTGTGTTTTTTCCCCTCCTGACTCCCCTTTCCCCCTTCGACCGGCGGCAAGACGCTTCCGTCTCCAGACCGATCCCCCCGCGCGTTCGCCCTCCCAGTCGGGGGCATCGACGAAGAGCTCCAAAAGAGTCTGGGCGGCGACGTCCGTCGAGGGGCGTCGCAACGACAGTGGGGACTGGCTGGCTGCGGCTTCCTCCCTCTCCTCCTCCTCCGCCTCCTCCTCCTCCTCCTCCTCCTCCTCCTCCTCCTCCTCCTCCTCCGCCTCCTCCTCCGCCTCGTCCTCCTCTCTTCCTCCTCCTCCTCCTCCTCCTCCTCCTCCTCCTCCTCCTCCTCCTCCTCCTCCTCCTCCTCCTCCTCCTCCTCCTCCTCCTCCTCCTCCTCCACGAACAAGCGGGGGGTAGAAAGGTGCCCTTTTACGGGCCCTGGAGGCCCCCCCTTTGGGGGCCCCAGAGGGTCGCTTTTTCGGCATCCCTGGATGGCCCCACTTGTATCGCCCCCCAAATGACGCGTCCTCCGACACGAGGGCAGGCCAGCTGCTAGGGAGCGCGCCCCGGGGGGGGGAGTGCGAGGGCCGGTCCTCTGAGAAGTGTTCCCAGCCTTCCCCGAAGGCACCACAAAAACCTCTCAGAAGACGCGAGGGCTTCTCAGAAGCCCCGACGCCTTCTGAGGTTCTTCCAAGGCTTAACCTAAACGGTGTTTTTCGTTTCCGTGTTGTTATCGTGTTCCCTCGTTTTGTCTTCAATCCGCCTTTACCGCAAAACGAAGTCGAACCGAAAACGGCCCACGAAAACGCCAAGACACCGTGTAGGTCTAGCCCTGAAAAACACCTCTCAGAAGACGCGAGGGCCTCTGAGAAGCCCCGTCGCCTTCTGAGGAGGCCTTCTTCTTCTGTAGGGGGCCACACGCGAACCCTACCCCCGCCCCCCACGTTTCCTGAGGGGAAAGGTGGGGTTCGCTTCGCTCGGGAGCTCCCGAGCGGAGGGAAACCCACCCTCCCCCTCAGAAATCGTGGGGGGAGGGAGCAGGAGCTCCCGAGCGAAGGGAAACCCCACCCCCCCCCTCCGAAGCCGTGGGGGGGGAAGGGGCAGGGCTCGCGCGTGGCCCCCTGCTCTGCTCCCCCCCCCCCGCTCGGCGCCGACCTGCGGCGCGGCGCGGCGCCGATGGATCGGCCAACGGCGGCGCGAGAGGAAGGGGCGATGTCAGGGGCCGCCGCGTCCCCATCCCCCATCCCCCATCCCCCATCCCCCATCCATCATCCCCCATCCCCCATTCCCCATTCCCCATCCCCCATCCCCCATCCCCCATCCCCCATCCCCCATCCCCTCCTCCGCCTCCCTCCTCTCTCCTCTTCCTCCTCCTCCTCCTCCTCCTCCGCCGCCTCCTCCCCCCCCCTGTTGGCTGTTGGCGGCGCGCAGGGGGGGGGGGGCAGGGTCACGTCGGGCAGGTCCCCCTACGGGCGGATTCCGGAGGGAACAATAGGAATACCCCAGAAATACTTCAAACAGCCCCCAGCTTGTTTGGAGGGGAAATGAAGACTACTCCAAGAATGGCTCAAAGTAGCCAAAACATAATCGAAACATCGTCCCCAGAGTATTTTGTGACTGCTTTTGAATACTCCCCCTGTAGAGGGACACGCCCGACCTGGCAGGGGGAAGACCACGCAGACGAGGGAAGGTTCGACTGTCGGCACCCTGCCCCTCCTGGCTCTCTGGGCTCTCTTGGCCTGGGGGTGGGGGGGCCCGCCTCCTGCTGGCTCTCGGCCAGCTCTGCCAGCTCCTGAGCCTGGCAGAGGGTGGTAGGGGGGGGAAACTGGGACACACAAATAAATAAACACAAATCAAATGATTCCCCATATTTTCCAATATTTTCTGGGAATCGCAGATTAATTGTGTCTGTTTGTTTTTTTCCCTCCTGATGGTAGGGGGGGAGGGGAAGGGTCCTTAGAAGGAGGCTGCTTTCCAGAAGGCGCTGGCCTTGCATTTTCAGACGAGGCCCGCGCCTTCTGACAAGCAGCCGCCTTCCAAGAAGCCTTCCGCCCTCCCCCTACACCCCCTTCCGCGCGTGGCGGAACCCCCCCTGACCCACCACCACCACCCGAAGACGAAGCCTAGACGAGGATACATTCGGGTAAGGAAACAGCGAGGATCTCTGAGATTCGGCGGTTCTGGAAGATGTCTCGGGCACCGCGGCCTTCCCGAAGCGCTCCCGAACGCTCTGCGCGCGTTCAGGAGCATGGAAAAGATGATCCTCGTCCTCTCCCCGTCCGACACCCCCATTTGCCGCTCCTGATCCGTAGCCCCCCGAGCCAAGCCAGAAGCCGTGCACACACACACACACACATACACACACACACACACACACTTTTGAAGGGAAACTGGGACACACAAATAAATACACACAAATAAAAAGATGTCCCATATTATCCTATATTTTCTGGGTTCTTGTCTTCCCCACCACTTCCCATATTTTCCTATATTTTCCTGGGGATCGACGATTAATTGTGTCTGTGTGTTTTTTCCCCTCCTGAACACAGCGCGGCGGCGGCGACGCGCGGAAGCGCCACTGGATGTCCTGCACGCCGGGCGGCAGCGCATCGACGCCGCGCTTCCTGAAGGCCTCCTTTAGGGGGAAAACAAACCTACCTCGCTTTTGACCACCCTCGCTTCCAAGAGATACCAAACGATGCCAAACTACGGCCTGTACTGGTCAGGCCGCTTGACGAGGAGGCGCGTGGTATGGCTTGGTTTTGCCTGGAAGCGAAAGCGGGGTAGGTAATTCACGCTCTGATCCTTGAAGGCGTCACTCCCCAGGAGGATCTTCAGCACCTCCTCCGAGCGCTTCTGGAAGGGAGGCCGGTCCCGGCAGAACTTGACCATGAAGGCGGTGATCCGCCGCCGCGCTTTCGGCACGCAGAGAAATCGGCGGCGGACAAGCCTCCCTTCAGCAAACCTCCCTTTCGCGAAAAAGCTGCCTAGGACCGAAACCGACGGACCTGGACCCTCGCCTGAATAACGGCCGCGACGCCCTCTCGCAGGCCGAAGACGGCCAAATCGCGAATCGACGTGTCAGGGTAGGTCTGTCCACCCCCGAGAGAAGCGCCCTCGGGCCCCGCGAGGGCCCGTCAGGTTCGGAGCACCGGGGGTGCGGCGAGGCTCCTGGGAGGCCACGGTGTGACTCGTTCGGGCTCCTCGTGGTGTGAGTCGTTCGAGGCCCGCGTCGTGGTGTGAGTCGTTCGGGGTCCTCGTGGTGTGAGTCGGTCGGGCGCCTCGTCCTGGTATGAGTCGTTCGGGCCCCTCGTTCTCGATGCCCGTGGGGCTCCCTGCGGGGAGCCCCACGGGCCTCCCCCGGGGTGCCCCGCGCGGCTCCCCGCGGGGGATCTCGGCGGCGCGGCTGCGGGCATCCAAGGCCGCCCGCATGCCCAGAGATGGCCCCGTGGGCCCGCCTTGGGCCTGCCTTGGGGGCCTGGCCGTCTTCGGCGACCACGAGTGATGGGCGTGTTTTCCACCACCACCACCATAAGTTGGAGGGGGGAGGAGGAGGAGGACGAGGAGAAGGAGGACGAAGAAGAGGAGGAGGAGGACCCCCTCCCCCTCCAACTTATGGTGGTGGTGGTGGTGGAAAACAGGCCAATCAACGAGGGCCACCCCGCAAGGCCCAGACCGCTTCCGAGGCGCGGACGCTATTTATACGCCAACGGGCGCCAGCGAGCCGGCGGAGGCAGGTGCAGAGGCGCCCGGCGGGCCCACGGGCGGGGCGCGCCGGAAAAGCGGAGCGGGGCACGGCGGAGCGCGGGGAGAGAGGCAGCAGACATGCTGACTCGACGCTGCCTCTGGCAGCTCGGGAGCGGCCAAGAGGGGGGTGTCCCAGGGGGGGGGGTGCAAATCATGACCGGCGGCATGCGCGCGGCCCAGCGGGGGGGCCAGGGACGTGATGAAATAAGAAGAGGCGCCACGAAATCTGGGGAAATATCATGGCCCCCGCCATGATATCCACCCCCCCCTAATCATCACCCCCCTCTTTTCCGCCCCCGAGCAGCACGCGCGGGGGGGGATTCTCCCCGACCGGGGTCACACGTCAGCCTGCCCGCGCCCGTGGGCCAGGGGGTCTCGCTGGCCCCTGCGGCGGGTGGCGCGGGCCGCCCGAGGGATCGACGCCGCGCGGCAGTGCCTGCGCCCGCGACACGGGGGTCGCTCGGGGCTGTGGGCGGGGGTGGCGCCCCCCGGAGGAGGAGGAGGAGGAGGAGGAGGAGGAGGAGGAGGAGGAGGAGGAGGAGGAGGAGGAGGAAAGAGGAGGAGGAGGAGGAGGACGCCCCAACGCGTATCACCAAGCGCAGAGTGCCCTTCTCGCCTCTTCGTCCTCGAGGCGCCAGCGACGCCCGCCCCCCCCCCCCCCGGCACCCAACACGGCCCCACGAGGGCCCAGAAGGGCGCTCTCGTCCGCCGCAGCACGGCCCGAGCGCCCCCGACAAGCCCGGGAGAGGCCCGCATGCCGGAAAACTGCGAGCAAGCCGTGGCCTTCAAGCGTTCCAATTGCGCCTTGACTCACAACCCAGGTAGGGTGGCAGCATGAGCCAAAGGCCGCAGGATAGTCTCCTTGTCATCCACGTCGTCCAAAGCCTGCTGAAAGTTCTTGAGGTGCACTGTTGCTTGGCGGAATTGCGCGAATACCGTCTCACACTCGTTGGCCCAGTGCTGCTCAGGTTCGTTGAGCAGCTTGTTCATACGGGCCTGCGCCTCAACCAGACGCTGCACGCGCGTCTCAACGGACGAATCGGCCGCCATAGGCGATGTCATGCACCTGAGGACGGCAGGACCAGTCAACTTCGACTCGGGAAATCGGGTCGGATCGATACGTACGTCGGATCGGGCCACCTCGGCACGGAGTCGAGGTCGAGTCGGGACGCAGGGGACCGTCAGAGCATCGGGATCGGATCAGGCCGAGTCGGTCAACATCGGCGTCGATCGGGGCGAAGCATGTGTACGGAGAGACGGGAGCGGGAGAGGGGCTCGGGGGGCTCCCGACACGTCCTCGGAGAACGACCCAAGCCCCAAAACCTTGCGGCGACCCCGAAACACCACCAATTCAAAACACGATGTGGTCACCGCAGCGTTTGGGGCTGCTCCCAGATGCTGCTCACGATCCGGGCCCCGGCGGAGCCCTCTCGGCGAGGCGCGGCTGCTGGAACGCATCCCGGGGCTGGAAGACCTCCAGGAACCGACGAAACCGTCAGAAAACCTCGGGGAGCCCACGAAGACGCAAGAAACCGCCCGACTCCCCACCGACTCCTCACGCGGTGTGTGGCCACCGCGCCGCTGCGGGGGCCTCCGACCTACGCCAGCCGAAATCCACATCGATCGGACCGAAGCCTGTGGACGGGGAGGCGAGAGTGGCAGGGGGGAACGCACCTCTCCCCCGTGTGCAGTAGAGGCCAGTCCACAGGAAGCCTTCCACAAGAAACCCAGCCCTGGAACACCAGGACGTCCATTGATTTCTGCTGTGGTGACGCCACGCTCTCAACAGCAAAACCGCCGAAGCCCAAGATGCCCAGGGCACCCTGGAGGCAAGCAGGGTGCCTCCCGGCATGGGCCTCCACTGCAAGGAGCGACGGGGCTTTCCTGTTAGGTCGGGCATGTCCTCCTACAGGCGGATGTGGGACGAGGTACACCCTGCGAAATGCTTAAGAAATCATGGGTTAAGAAATTCATAGTCTCAGAACTTGAATAAAAACCCAAAATTTCCATTCAAATCTTAGGATTTACATTGAAAAGTTAAGAATAATCGAGACTCTGGACGAAAACTTGAGTTTTCTTAAGCATCGCCCAAGGTGTATTAGAAATGGTCAAACAGATATTCAGGCATGGCCACAAAGATGCGAGACATCGTCCCCTGACTATGTTGGGACCATGTTTGCACAGCACGGGAGGAGCGCGGAGGCCTCGGCCACGGCGAGCCGAAGGCCACGGCGAGCCCCCGCCGCGCCGGGAGGCCCCCCCCCAAAGCCCAAAAACATCCGAGGAGCGGCCCGACGAGCCAAGGCCCGACGAGCCAAGGCCGCCAAACCCAAAATACGAGGAGCGCCCCGACGAGCCGAGGCCGCCAAACCCAAAATCCGAGGAGCGCCCCGACGAGCCAAGGCCGCCAAACCCAAAATACCAGGAGCGGCCCGACGAGCCCAGGCCGCCAGACCCAAAATCCGAGGAGCGGCCCGACGAGCCAAGGCCGCCAAACCCAAAATCCGAGGAGCGCCCCGACGAGCCAAAGGCCGCCAGACCCAAAATCCGAGGAGCGGCCCGACGAGCCGAGGCCGCCAAGCCCAAAATCCGAGGAGCGGCCCGACGAGCCAAAGGCCCCCGCGGCGGCGCCCCGGGGCGGTCCGCACGTCGGCGTCTGGGCTGCACGAGGAGGCCTCCTCGACGGGGTCCGGGCCGATGGCGCCGGAGGATCGCAGCGCATCGCCGCAGCGTCGCTAATGCATCGGCGATGCAGCGGCTACGTCGGCGATGCACCAGCGACGTCGGCGTTGTGAAAATCGGCCTCCACATCGAGCCGCGTCGCCGAAGCATCGGCGACGCGGCGCGATTCACCGACCCCATCTACTCAGACTTCACATATCGGCGACTCCGAAGAGTGTCGTTTGCAAAGGGTGCGGTTTACTGGCACCCTGGGGGGCACCCTGGGAGGCAGGCGAGGACCTCGACAGAGCTCTCCGCCGGGCCCCGCGGAGGTCTGACGAGGACAGTGTCGTGCACCCGGGACCTCAACGGTGCCGATCGCAAACCACACCCCGGCATAACCACACCCGTTGTAGTCGGTAAATCTGAGAGGCCTAGATATGCGCCGACCGACCCAAGGGGGGGGGGGGGGGGGCAGCCTGCGGCTGGGCTGGAGCCCCCTCCCCCGGGCTCGCGGGCGCTCTCGGAGACATCGCTCGGCATGCGGTGCCCGGGGGCCTAACGACGCGGCCGCCGCCGCCTCCGCCTCCGCCGCCGACGACGCCGAGGCCGACGCCGAGGCCGATCCTCCTCCTCCTTCTCTCCTCCTCCTCCGACGACGACGACGACGACGGCGACGACGACGACGACGACGGCGGCGACGACGACGACGGCGACGACGACGACGCGGAAGCGGACGAGAGCGAAGCAAACGACGACGACGACGACGACGACGACGACGACGACGACGACGACGACAACGACAAGGACGACGACGCCACAACCGACGATGACGCCGACGACCACGCCGACGGCGACGACGACGGCGACGACGACGGCGACGCCGACGGCGACGACGACGTTGAAGCGGACGACAACGAAGCCAGCGACGACGACGTGAAGCCGACGGTCGCGAGTGGCACCCTGGCGCGAGCGCGTCTTCGCCGACACGAGAATGAGATCTACGAGCCCTGGGCCACAGCGCCGTCGAGGGCCACAAGCCCCGGAAACGACGGCCCGCAGGGGGGGCCATGGAGAGCCGTCACGGAGCGCCTTCCGCAGCAGGAAAGAGCAAACCACCCTTCCCCCCTGCGCCTTTCTCATCCTCCCCCTCCGCATCCTCATCCTCAACCTCGTCCTCGTCGTCTCCTCCTCCTCCTCCTCCCTCCTCCTCCTCCTCCTCCTCCTCCTCCTCCTCCCTCCCTCCCTCCCTTCCTTCCTTCCTCGCTCCCTACTACATGTTTATCCTCCTCCTCCTCCTCCTCCTCCTCCTCCTCCTCCTCCTCCTCCTCCTCCGCCTCAATCCCCCTTATCCTCCTCCTCCGCCTCCTCCTCCTCCGCCTCCTCATGCTCCTCCTCCTCCGACCGCAAACAAGAGGGCAAGTACGTATGTAAGGAGACGTTAGTGGTCGGATCGATATGCAATTCGACATTGCCATCGCAACAAATGTTGTCTGAGAACATCGTGAATACGATCGGAGGGAGTCAAGGACAATTGCACGTAGGTCGTATCCTGTCTACTACGAACATGTGTGGATTGTGCCACAATGTTTTCCTCAGTACTGAGATTAATAAGAAACACGTGGCCGACAATATGAACAGACAGCTGTGCCCGTGCAACAGAGGCCGCTACACATGCGAAGCTGTACCGCAGAGGATGGCTGCCAATGTATGAAGACAGCTTTGGTGAGACGACGCGTTGGTTCAAGCATTGCAGGGATCACTCAGTACCTTACTTATCTCCATCCTCTCACGTGCGTCAACTTATGAGACTATTGAGCAATCGCACCATCTACTTCCTCGAGGTCGTACATCGTGGGCTGAATTACCTGAACCAGGTTGGACACCCGTTCAATGTGCCAGAAGGCACCGAAGTGATGGAGGTGGAGAAGCCCAAGTCTTGGCCGATTCAGGATCGCAGCAAGAACGTCGCCGTGGCTGGCCAGGACGCCAAGAGAGGCAGGATCTCCAACAAGGGGACGAGGACATGGACTACGATTTGACGATCATCATGATGAGAGACTTGATCGTTCAATTGGAGGCATAGGCGAGGCTACTGGAGCACGAAGCCATGAGCACGGCAACCTTGGACAAGCCACATAAAATAGTAGTGGACGTCAACCAATCCTGCGCGGAGTACGCGCAGTCCAGGAAGCAAGATCCCAGCGAGAATATTGGTCTCCCGCTTGCAGGTCAGTATGCGCACTTCTAGCCGTCTTAGGCAACTGGCAGTACAAGGATGCCTCGGACAAGATATCTCGGCTGAAACTCGTAGTCGTCAGAGTCATGAAGATGGTGGGAATAGGAGGGCCCACTCTCGGGCCGTTCGGTGCGCAATACAGCAGTCTTCCCGTGCGTCGACATGCAGAACAAGCCCAAGAAGTCACGCCGTTTGTTCAGCTTGCGCGGAGCAACACTGGCTCCAGACGATCAGGAGCTGGTCAAAGCGGTGGAGCAGCCCGATCATCCTGTTCACCAGCAATCGCAGGTAAAGATCCCGACGGCATACTACCAGCAGAAACTTGTACGTGCGACAGGTGGTAGCCTTACCCTCAGCCGAACACCGCGCGGCAATATGGCGCGCAAGCTGATAGAAAGAGGCCGCGTAATACGTCATGGTGCCATTTGGGATGTGTCGAGACCTTCGGCCAATTCGGCAAGTGCACTGGGAGTCGTGTTATGATTCGACATGGTGCTGATGAGACCTTCGGCCAGTGCGGCAAATGCACTGGGAGTCTTATGATTTGGCGTTGTGCTGATGAGGTATTCGGCCAGTTCGGCAAGTGCATGGGAAGCCTTATTTTGATGTGGCATTCTTCTGAAGCTCTTGCCACAGCTTGCCGCGGGAGACTGGCTTGCCCCTCCTTTCTGGGCCTCACCCTGGGCTCCCCGGGACGGACAAATTGTCGCAGTGGCCCCCGACCCGAGCATCTGTGCTGTGGTGTCCTCCCTGTTGTGGAGCACTCGCTGTGCACCTTCTCAGAGTCTTCGCCTCGCAGGTGCCGCGGCATGAGCTGCGAGGCGGGGAGTTATCCATATCCACCGCCTGGGAACCGACGTCCTGGTGCCCCAGCGGGCGGTGGATATGGACATGTTTCGGCCCCCGGGGGGCCCGAAGATGTCCATATCCACCGCCTGCCGCGGCTCCGAAAACTGACCCTCCAGGCGGTGGATATGGATCCATTCCCTCCTCGGATGAGTGCGACGGTGCGTGCTCGTCCGGCGACGGTCGTCTGGGGGGGGAAAGAGAGGAGGAGGAGGAGGAGGAGGAGGCGGAGGAGGAGAAGGAGGAGGAGGAGGCGGAGGAGGAGGAGAAGGAGCAACAGGAGGAGCAGCAGAGGAGAAGGAGGTGGAGGAGGAGGAGGA